TCGATCACGTTTCAGCAACACGAGACAGGGGCGTACATCATGATTAGGGGCTGTTCCCACGATCATAAGAAGCCTATAGGGGAATATTTATGTCTCCATGAGTAGCCCCAGCATCGGGATTTATAGCATGGTAATTGTGAGCCTTTACACATGATTACAGCATAAGGAAGCATTTACTTAATGGTCGGTGTTGTGATCACCAGTGAGGGAGAGAGAGTGGATGGAAGCGGGGCGGAGGAGAAAAAAAGTGGCGAAGAGCTGCAGGACACCCCGACTCCTCCAACAAGCCATAAATCCACAACAACAAGCCAGCCAGGCCAGCACTATCATGTCATTGCTCTCAGTACAACGCGGGTACACTACTGCAGGTATCCACCGTCCACGGCTTCAGCTGTGAACATACATCCAATCCCCCTCAAACAATGTAGAAATATTGATGGCTGTGAAAAATGTAGCATTTTGAAAAAAAAAAAAAAAAGCGAGAGAAAGAAGGAGAAAAAAAACCCACTTGTACTGATATTGACGTGGCGTTGACATATCGGCCTGTTCAGATTTTAATGAGACGTGGTTCAATAAGTCTCAGAAATGCAAACAAGCTCTGGATGCCTAAACGCTAACAGGCTGCTGTAATCTGGGGCTGACATCAGTGCATCCCCGAGTCAAAATATTTCCTTCTGGATAATGATTTTAGAGGGATGAGCGTACAGCAGCCAGATTCAGTCACGACCAGTCCACTGCTTAAGTTTCAGAAACTCGGTTGGTTGTCAGGGCAAATCAAAGCCTCAAAGTCAGTCTTGTACCCCTCCCACTCTTACCCTTGCGCAGCCCCAGACGGGATCTGGCTCTGTGAGCTGCCGTCAGGTCCACTGCTGCGATGGGAAAGGCGCCAGCGAGGTCACACTTATTTCTCAAGCACTCTGCTAATGAGAGAAATTTGCCACAGCGGGTTTGAGGAGTGAAGAGCTGGTCATACAGTTAAACAGCAGCAGCAGCCGGAGCTGTGTGAGATGTTTCTCAATAAGAAGATGGAAACCAATCCAGCGAATGCGTCAAAGCTGTTTTCGCAGCAAAAGTAGGCAACGTTTGGGCCTAATGTGATGTATATTGCTTGGCGTGCTGGTGGAGGGTTGAAATATTGGATTTTTCAGGTTATTGCCGGTTGATACATCCACGTAATCACGATCAATACAAAGTCATGGACAGAGTTCATAAACTGTGTTTTTTCAGAGCAAGTGATTGAGTTCTGTAGTAATAGTAACATTATTTTCACCAGTTTCCACTTGCTTGGTTTTCAGTCATTTCTCTTCATCCCAGGTTACAAGGTCAATTTTTTAACACTTTCTCTCCATGTAGTTGGACTGAACAATAAAGCAGTAAATGATAAATCAGTCCTACAAATGTCTGGTTGCCAGGCAGAGATTCTTACAGTTAAAAAAAAAAAAAAAAAAAAAAAAAAAAAAATAAATTTTTTAAAAATCTTAAAAAACACAGTACAATATTATACAATACAATTATACAATGGGTTATTAGGCAAAAAATACCTAAAACTGCACAAAATATCAACTATATCAAATTGTTTACATTTTTCTGAGATTAGAAAAAACAATTTTTATTTGGTTCAGGTCACATTTATTCAGCCTGATGATTGGAGGACAGTTCGAGGAATAAATAGCATTATTAACCTGTTAGTAACTCATTCTACAATTCTTTACCACCTTCAAAGACACCAAACAGACCTTATTGTCGTTATAGAGTATATCTAAATTAAGAGAGAAGGAACACTGTTGCTCATGCGAACACTGCGACTTGGCTCACTCAGATGCAGTTTTGATCAATACATTTTTACAGAACATATTTATACAAATTTGATCTTTTGCTACCCAAAAATGATCTATGTATCAATGTAATCATCTTAAAAAAGAAAAAAGCTGCGATCAATCAGGTGATAATACAAAAAGCGCGTCTTTTCTTTCCTTCAGAGAGGCATGACTTTGACATCATGTGTTCATAACTCAACTTGAATTTTCACTTCTCAATGTTCGATGGAGTGGCTTTGACCAGCGTTTGACCAATACAACACCAAAAATAGGATCGATCCCGTCCTGAAGTTAATTCCCGACAAAAACAAAGCCCCTTTGTTTCCAACCTGCAGGCCAGCGTTAAATAAAAGTCCACTACAGGCAACACACCATCGATCCTCTCCTACTGTGGGTTCCTTTATGTGTATCTGTGTGTGCATGTGTTGAGTGCACATGCAGCGACCGGTGCTTACGCTTCCAAAGGCCTTTGATACCATCAGCAAAACAGTCGCTCAGTGCACACGTCGCTGATTGAAACCTCTTAAAAGTGTGCATTTAGGTAATTGGCCAACTCTCTTCCTCTCCACCAAATATGTTTTAGTCCACTTAAGGGCTTCTAAACACCCGGGGCTGTGCAGACTCGGCTGCTTTCTCCTGGCCCCTGATGTGAAACCCGTCTGTGTGATAGAAAATAAATTAGTTCCAGCCCTAAAGTGATTATTGCTCACTCAACTGCCGCCACATGTAAATGAATTTCATGAGAAACTAATGATGTCCGAGCGTCTGCTCAGGTAAAGGCAGAGGACGGAGAGGAAGTGGAAGGAGGAGAGGTAAAGGAGAAATATGGTGGTGGGGGCAGGGGGTGAGAGGTGGTGGTGTTAGTGCTGGACCGACACACAAAGGCAGAGGTTGGTGTTGTGTTTCCTGTAAATACAGAATTACAGCGTGTTAGAGGTGAAAGGTTCAGCTGTGGATATGCAGAAGGAACAACACGCAGCTTGAATTTAAAACGCCTGTCTGATTCTCAAAATGGATCTGAGCCCAACCCACACACACACACACACACGGTTACACGAGGCTATTTTTCTTCCTTGCTTCTTATTTTTATCATCATTATATGCTCACCGCAAAATATATTTTTTATTAATTCCCAGCCTTTTCCTCAGGAAATATTGATTATGTAATTGAGCAGGCAGTGACCCCGGGTTTCTATTTTGTGGCTGCTTGGAAGCAAGACATTAGGAAACAAATTACCACTTAAAAAGTTTGAATATGTCAAGCTCTGACACAGCGTTAATAGAGCAAGAAATAATGAGTAGGTGTTGTTATCATTCCTGGCCAGGAATATAAAACCTGCCTGAATATGTGACTGAAATACAGTAAAACTACCAGAGAAATATAACATATACTTTTTGATTTGCCATAATTGTATGAGAATTCAAGTTAATGAGATGATTCTGAATATTTTTGTCAATAGAGATTTCACTATTAGTTAAAAAAAGGAAAAGAATCGGTAAAGGATGCAGTAGTTCTTCTACCGGCCAACATCAACATATTCGTTTTTTGACAATTTTTCTTTGAGTTTTTTATTTATATGCTCATTTTTTCATTAATATAAAAAATAATAATATTTTGACTACATTGATACATAATAATAATATATTAATAATATTGTCTTTATTATGTTTCTTTTTTTAAGATTTGAAGTAAACTTAATCTATTCAACTATTATTTTCGACTATTTTCCTGATTTTTAAAATGTATTTATTATTAATTTTGGCTGTTTCTGCTTATTTACTAAATTGACTACATTTATTTAGCATCATTTTAAACGTTTCTGCTCTGACTATTTTACCCTTTTTTTGTCCACTATTTAGCAATTTAGATAAGACTTTAAAACAAGAAATATTTAACATTTTTGAGTCAGATGACCCCAGCCTTAAATTAAGACCAAAGTAGTTTTATTATGGTTAAAAAAAAAGATAGAATACCAATCGCTAGTATTGTTTGGCCCGTGTTTGGAAAGATCAAGTGTAGTGAATCTGTTTAACTGTTTGAATGCAATTATTTCTGGTATTCCACAGCCATTGTCTTGCACTGAACTAAAACCAGAGGAAAAAAATGTGGGGGAAGTGAAAAGCATGATAAAAAGCAGTGAAGGAAAGTTCAGAGCTTCATACTGCATCTATTAATCGGTTTTATCCCAGCAGTCTTACAGCAGCAGCTCACCGGCAATAAGATGCTACACATCTTGATTCCTCCACAGCTCAATGAAGCAGGCTGCTGATTCATCACTTTTCACTAATCAAAGTTGCTTAGCTAATCTGTTTTCTTTCAACAAATCCACTTTTCCTCTGCTTAATCCGTTTGTCCTAGTTATCCACTCAGTCTGTTAGCTAACCTGTTTCCCACTGTTTACCATTTTTATGGTAAATTCATTTTTGTGTCCTTCTTTCTGCAGCCTGCAAGAGGAAGGAGCAGGAGCAGAGCAAGCTGGAGCGCAACCAAGGCCCCAAGCGAACCAGGCTGGTTTTCACAGACCTGCAGCGCCGCACGCTGATGGCCATCTTTAGAGAGAACCACCGCCCGACCAAAGAGCTGCAGGTGACCATCGCCCAGCAGCTAGGCCTTGAGCTGTCCACTGTCAGTAACTTCTTCATGAACGCCCGCCGACGCAACATCAACAAGTGGGCGGACGAGGGCCGTCCCTCCTCCACAGGGTCCTCAGGCTCCAGCGTCTCCTCTTCCGCAGTGTCCTGCAGCACGGCGTGATGTCAGAAACCGCCTTGGGTGCGGTGGGGAGGGCGCTGAGGGAGCAAGGGGGCACATAGACTGGTCTGAGCAGAGATCGGCCGTCATAAATGTCCTCCTCGTTATCAGAAGGAGCGACGGAGCCAGCTTTCTTAGATGATGTTATAAAAATGAAGCATTTTTCTCAAACCAAAGTTGATCGCCTCCTTGAAATGGAAGGAGGCGATACCCAGAGTGATACCAAAGCAGGATGGGAGGTCCTGCTCTTGTATAGTCAAGGGTGAAGAGATGCTTTAACTCAGAAGAGTCTCACCCTTACATAGACACCATCTCATTATTATGTTATTTTGATTATGTAGATTAGAGATAATGAGGGTATTACAAATCAGGAGGAAACATATTTTTTTGGTGTACCTTCGAATCTATCGTCATCTCTCCAAGGATGAAGAATCAAAAATGGGTCGTTTGCTCGCATCTGGAGAGCTCCATTGTGTTAATCAAAAACTCTTTACCATCATCCAAAGACATTCTACCCTTCCCCAAGCGGGTCCACAGTATCGGTCCTATTATTCCTCGAGAATCAAGGTGAAAGAGGAAGAAAGGGCCTTTTCTTAACTTTTATTTTCTGAAGAACCTGATTTCCATCGTAATCATCATAGCATGTATTTCCATGGTGAGTGTTCCACCTTCGGAGCATCCGTAGCGTTTGTAATTTCCCAACTGTCAATCATCTACCATCCACATGAGCCTTTCCTGTGGTTCAAAAATATACCCTCACCTCGAATGAATCAAGGGTTTTCGAGTGGGAAGGGAAAAAAAAAACAAAGATCATCTCATCAGATGCCAGGACAGAATCAATAAACACAAAGAGAAAACACACAAAGAAACGGACACGTTGGTGCAAATGTCTAGCTTTAAGACTCTCCATCGAGCTTCCAACAAAAGCTCCAGCCATTTTTTGACTCAAACCAAAAAAAGTACAAAAAAAAAAAGAGTAAAACAGCCTTTATATGCAAAGGCTTCACCAGGAGGTAGACGTAACACAATGTATAGTGATATTGTAGTATTTTTTCCACTCATTTTCAGAACAACTGTACACACCTCTGCTCCATATTTAAGTCTTTTTTTTTACAGATGTCTAGAGAAAAAACAATGGAGGAATGTGATTCTTTCAGCCCTTTTTGTACAGATCTCAAGCACATTGCTCTATTTATAGAAACACGTCGGAAGTGCGGGGTGGTTTGTTTTCAGCCCTGCTGACGTATGGACATACGTACTAGGTTTTTTTTTTGGTCCACAAAGGAAAGGCTTTGAAACGCCTCCTTATAGCCAGTAGTTAAAAAGAAGAAGAAGAAAAAAATCGAACCGACAACATTTCAAATGCAAATACTGATCTGATCAACCTATTTATTACTGCATTTGTATATTTATTGTTTTTCCATTTTATTTCCTTATTTATTTTTAATTTATTTATGCTATCTATATACTGTAAGTATTTATTTAATGATGCTCTGTATGTCTGTGTGAAACTGAAGACTTTTTTCTGATGGGCACTTTTAGCTGTAGAATCCCATCATAATACCAAAGATTAACATTGCCTCCCTGAATGTACGGCCTGAGTCCCTATACCCCTGAACCTAAACCCTGAACCCCACCCCAACCTAAACCACCCAGTGTTGTTAAGTATCTCTATCTCCAAGGCCTGGCCTTTTGTTTTGGTTTAGTTTTTTCAATGTAGAAAACTGGGGATTTCCTTACTCTTGCAAGTGTCTCTGCAGTCAGCTCCTAATGCCAAGACCAAAGCCTGTTTGAATGTTGTGATAATATTTATAATACCAATATATTGGTAACGATACCGTTAACAATGACGACATCGATGATGGGGTGGCATCCCATAGCTTCACAGGTTGCTTGTGAAGACGTGTTTTAACCAATGCCATCTGATGGGGCAGCGGTAAATGTCTGGGGACCCACTTAAAGTGAAGGCCCCGTTGAGTGCGAGTCCTTCAGGGTCACATGCGAACATGCGTACTCTGCTTCTGCCTGGGGAAATGCATGGTTCTGACCTCCTCTCTATCCAACTCGATCACCTGCCCCCTTGTCGTCCTACCCTCCCCAGTGCAGCGCAGACAGTCTTGTCTAATGTGCAGCTCAGTGTGAATCACTGTCCACCACAACCTCGCCTTTCTGCCAGTTCTCTCAGTTCCAGGAGAATAAATTACTTATTTTCAGATGAATTCTGAAAGACTGTACTGGACTTTAGGACTGTGAAAGCTTAAACGGTTCCAGGACTTATATTAGGGCATTGACACATCGGGGGTTTATCATGGATTTACAGGAAATTTATGTAAAACATGTATCTCTTCTGAGAGGAATCTTAATATTACCAGCTAGTACAGGATTTCCTTTGTCATCAATTGATACCTAATTCAAAGAAACCAAGGATCTGATTCTGATCGGATCATTAAGGTGTACTCCTAGCTCTCCTGTCCCTCGTTTGGAAATCCCAAATTAAGTTATGAGGCTGTTTTAGCTTGTCTAATTTGTCCCTGGACTTCTATTGTCCCTGATCCCTAGAGTCTGTACCTTTTCTTGAATGCTGTGAGATTTGCAGTCTCTAGTCCATCAATTTGTTACACCTAGTCATTGTTGTCCTCTATGTCCAAATTCTCTTATTAAATCAAGAGGCTTCTCGATCTTAAAGGATTTTTCCATTTAGTATGTCCGGCTTCTGGGCTCTGTATCTCATTTTGGAGATACCAAAGGTCTGTTTAAGCTTAAACATGATTTCCAGAGCTTCACCAGCCTAGATTTCCTAATTAAGAAAATTCACCAAAGTCTTATTTGTAATATGTATTCCTTTACTTTTCTGGAAATACCTCTTAGGTATGTAGAATTTGTAATACTACTTCTGAGGCCATCGTGGTTTAAATTTTTCCAACCTTTTTTATCAGAAAGCACAGGATTTATCAGTGAGTGTCTTCCTCCATACGTCTTGCACAAACAGACATCTTGGTTTGCCTGCCTAGGGCTTAAATCAAGAGAAATCACCAAAGATCACTACATCTTCCAAGCCATTTCGTTTCGCTTCTTGGGGGAATCTGAAAATTAGTTGTTCAGCCTTTACAGCTTGTTGGAGTTTTAGGGGTTTCCAACTCATCTTGGAAAAATCCTGGATTTTTCGGAAAGCACAGGATTTGTCAATGACTGCCTTCACCTGTGTAATCTGCACAAGCTACACCATCCCCATGCTCCAGCTTTCACCAGCCTAAAGCCTAAATCAGAAGAAATCACTGAAGATCTGATTCTGAGACCCACGTGTAAATGCTGCCCAAGGGTGGCAAGGCTTCCCTGGTCATTTTCAATCCTCTTTCTCTCTGTCTGGCCCCGATTTTTGGTTCGGTCTCTCAATTTTTCTTTCTTGAACGTTGAAACGGGAGGATTGTCTGGGCCCCCTTCGCAGTGTGCACTTGAAAGACAGGCGGTCATGAAAGAGGCCATCGACTTTTTCCATGCACTTCAAAGGAAAGGCCTTTTTCATCCCATCTCCTCTCTGGGTATTTGGTCTAGGGTTTGCTCTTGGCCAGACCTATGGGCTTTAGGGGGCATTCAAAGAGGGCGGAGGAAGATCAGAGAGGAGGCGGAATAGTGCAGAATGAGGACAGTGGTTGTGGAGGGTGTGTGTGTCGGAGAAGAGATGGATGGGAGGGGGGGTTTTCTTGTGGAACATAAGGTTGTTGAACTAGCAGGGCATGGAGCTGAATTAAACTTTAATGAGCAACAATTGTAAGCATGCTGAGAGTGAAAGGTGGGGGACAGAGGTTGGGGGTGAGACAATTGAGACTGTTCTGAGAGGAGGGCGGGTGAAATATAAAAAATAAAAGAGCTTGGAGGCTTCTTTGTGCGACCCCTGCGCGCTACTGTCATCATATCAAAGCGGAGGTGACACCTTTCAGGTTTCCCTTTGTCTCTGACTGCAAGCCTAAAATGGAGACATAGCTTTTTGTATTGAGCCACCGTCTGCTCTGTGTCAAGCAGGGGAGCTCTTCCTTTTCTGTACTGGAGGCAGAAGATAAAAGGAGGGAGGGAGGGTGTGAATTCATTGAACTGTTGCAGGTGATTTGCGTTGGCACTTTAACCTGCGGCACCCCCTAGTGGATTTAATAGTAACTTGACCGCTGAGGCCGTTGCAGAGTTAAAGTCGGGAGGGGAGTCTGGAGAGTAAATAATGCATTACAGTAGTAGAGCTGAAAGATGTAACTTTCAGAATAAAAATTTTAAAAAATACCAAAAAAAAAAAAAAATCTCTTTGATGAACCAAAAAAGGAAAAACAAACCAAAGATTGATGGGTAACTGCTGAACAGCTAAGTATTATGGGTAGTTTTAGCAGTTCCCTGTCAGAGCTACAGTAGCACTCAGAGGATTCAAAGAACAAAAGCACCAGTGGGGTTCAGCGTGCTGATTACTTACATAAAACAGTATTACGTTGAGCTGGAACTGAGAAACTGACATGAGGCAGTGTCTTCAGAGGGATGTCTTTTTACTCTGTAAACCCCTGTGCCCCCCCCCCCCATCACTCCCAGCCCCCTTGTCCCTGTGTGTACATGAAGACTTTTACCCATCTACCTCAACTGTGTGAGATGTTGTGTGGCAAAGATATTCCTAACCAAAGAATCCATCCTGTCAGGGTGTCTGTCCGTGTATCTAACGTATCTATCAATCTATCTCATGTCTGTCCATCTGTCTCTTTTCATGCCTTTTTGCTCCAAACCAAATGTGCTGGAATCAATCCGAAAACGGGAACCGTAAGGTGGTTTCCCGTCCAGCCAAAGCTAAGTCCAGTATGCTTGCGTGTCCCATTGATCCATGCTCTGTATATAAATACAAATGTCAAGACCAAAAAAGAGGAGGTGACAATCCAAGCAAGGAGGATCTTGCTGTAATCAACGTTGCCTATTCCTTGTTTTCCGAAAAGCTAGAATCATGTGACTTGCTGTAACAGTGGGGGGGGGGGGGGGGGGGGGGAGCCCAAGAATCAAGCATCCATCCCAAAATAAAGAATGGTCAGAGGACACAGAAGCTATTTTTCCACATTTGTAAGCCACCCCTCCCAACCCTGTTTTTCCGAAATGTTTAGTGTAGTTGAAATACTGTTTGATCCCACTGTTGTAAGTAGGAGTTAATGAAATCCATACAAAAAGCTTTAAACGGGGAAGAGCCAAGGGAAGTGTTATATTTGAGTCTAAGTTTCCTTGGCCTCGGACCCGGACCCACCATGCTTTATCGTGCCATTTCTTGTTCATGTGTTAGACTTACTAATGAATGTGGCTAACCAACCAAAGGCTTTAAAGAAAAAAAAAGATACACAACACTTTAAACGTCAATCATGGTGGGACATTTTGTATCAGCAACTAAAGAAAAATCCCTTTGAATACCTCATGTGAAAATTGTTTGTTGTGATGTTGCACTAAAAAAATAAAAACGACTCATTTGTAACCCAACACTGCTCTCTGCTGACTTTATTTCAACCTTGCTAGAGGTGAAAATGGTGAAACCGTCTGAGATTGTAAAGGCCAACTCAGACAGGGAGTATTGTAGCACAACGCAGCTGCTGTACTTTTATAGCATAATATTTATCCAAGAAGATGCAAGAACGTATCTCAAGCATCCTGACACTGCTCTTTCCTGGCTTCTGTCCATGCAGATACTTTCATTATCAGACCTTGTTGTATCTGGATTAACTGAAACATGGGGCCCTGAATCTTTAGTATGTAATTTCAAAGTCAGGAGGCGCTGCATGGCTTTAGGTGAACTCTGAACTTGTCTGTATGGTTACCAACTGCCCTTTAGCTCCTTATAGAAAAGGTCACATGGCTCTTACAACATAGCCACAATTCCAACCACCTATAGGTCACACCATCAACATCATAGCAGACCTGTACTGGCATTTGTGTGCAGGATTTACAACCAGCAGCAGAAAGATCTCTCAAGACATATCCAAATGTCTCTTGAGTTTAACTAAAATACACAAAATAAAAAGAGCCTGCTAACTGGATTCATTTTTGGCAGCATTCAACAATTAGACTTGTACTGCAGTACTACAAAACAGGTACACATGTACCTGTATTTATCTGTTAAAATACACTCTGCAGCCACATTAACCACATTATTTTTTTGTGTTTTGTTGACAATATGGCTGGGCAGCTAACAAACACTTAGCACACTAAGCTAAGGCATTAGAAGGATGCCTCATTTCCAAAATTGTACAAGCATTGAACAATTGTGTCTTTAATTAAATTAATAACAATTGCATTCCACAACACACACACAAACACAAACAATCTGATTCTTTACTTACAATAAGTCGTTTTCCTCCAAGACAGGCTTACTTGAGCTAACTCTAACAACCTTGCCTTGCTTCATCTTCCTTAATTTTGAAGAGCAACTCTGCACTCAGCTGCATTGCTGCCATCTACTGGCTTAATTTCCCACTGATAAATCTTTCCACTTTACATGAAAGAAAAAACAAGGAAAACAAGAAGGTAGCGTCCTAGCAGAGCATGGTACATTTTCACTGTTTAATGTCAGACGAGGACTGTTTCTCCTTGTGGTCATTCTTAGCTACCACATGGTATGTTATCACCTTTTACATGCTTACAGCACAGGAGACACAGAGATTTAACAGAGACACGTGGTATTGATTTTAGAGTTCCCTCGTAACATGTAAAAGCTAAATTGACCAACACACCAATTTCCCAAGTCAATGGTTTCCTTTCAGACATTTTTATGGCAGGTTTAACAGGCCAGTCTCCAGTCGCTGGGGAAGAAATCGGCTCTTCACCTTCGCTGCATCGGCAGATGTCAAAGGCTTGAACACTTACACTTATGCATCCACACCTGAAGTGCATCAACAGGGCATAAACTAAGAAAACAGTAAATCAGTGATTTATTCAGTATAGCACTTTTACAGATTTAAAATAGTTTCATCCACACCAAGGAGAAAAAAATCCTTTAAAATACCAACAAATCTGTTTTGCTGTATAAGGTGTTTTTGTTCATTAGTATTTCTTGTAGTAAAAAATATTTTGATTCAAACGATAACACTAACATGACAATGTGGACGTTTTAGTCACAGCTTCTACTCTTTGCAGCTACATGATGGGAAAGCAGGAGTACGAAGAGATGCCACACTGGTTGTCCTTGTTGCGTGACATCCTGATGTAGCCCTGGTCTCCAAAAGATGTTCCCCAACTGGACAAGGAGAACACAAAAAGGATATGATATATAAATATGAGATATATATAAATATAAAGGAGTGGCTGGACCTCAAGTCAATGACCATGTCTTCAGTTCCCTGTTATTCGTGTCTGTGCCAACGGGAAACTGATTAAGAAATACAGAAACCACTTCTTCTTCTGTTGTCACCAAATGTTGAACCTTCAAAGTCATGAACTTGAGGTGGACAACCTGACTTTTTCCTTCACTTTTTCACTTATTGGTTTTCTGGAAGGTTTCATAGTAATTTATTTTTTTTAATCTATGTTTTGACCGACATGTATATGTATATGTATAGCCCAACATTTTTAATAGGCATAATCATAATCATTTCTGATGCTCTGTGTTCAGTTTTAAGGTTGCTTTATTTTTGCTATTTCTTTTATGTTTTTATTGGTTTATTTTCCTCAGTAATTTTAGATGAATATATAATTGTGTGGTTTTGGTATATGTACGTGTTTGGCTTTTGTATGTTACGATGGTGCATGACTGACTTTGACTTAGTTAGCTAACTATTATCTTGTCATTTAAGCTTTCGGCTAATATTTAAATGTTGTTATGTATTCTTTATATATATATAAAGAATACATATATTACAAACGTATTTCTGTTATGGCCATGTTAGCTTGTTGGATGAGCTCTCACCTGTTCTTCACCAGCCAATAGTCTTGTCCATCCAGTGTACCATAACCCACAGCTAACACTGCGTGGTTTACCCTCTTTGAGCATGATGGGTCATCATATACTCCTGAAGGGATATCAGTTCAAATTTTAGGAAAAAATAAAAAAGTTCTCTCCTCTCTCACCTGGTGATGTTTTTCTTACCACTTCTGTAGAAGGTAAATCTGGGCCTTGTTGCATCGATGGCCACTGATATAGGTCCGATGGTGCCCAGAGCCTGTTTCAGAGTGTTTTCATCGCCCTCAGGCAGGAACTTATACTGGGAGCAGTTGGCTGCACGGTACGTGGGGTTGTAGCGACAAGGTTGTTCCTGAAAAAGTGAAATAAAAAAGTGATGATTCACGCAGCATTTTAGCCATGTTTGATAGAAAATAGAAATGAAGATGGAATGTCCTATTTCTCTGTTTTGTTGTGTATCAAACAGTTGGCCTCCACCTCCTACTCCTTCTCCTCCTCCTTCACTCAAACCAGTTGGAGCCTGGAGGACAAACATTGTTGTCCGCTCCGATTAATTTATCGTTGCTCCAAAGAGACATTAACAGCAGACCACAGACTGGTGCGTAGAGTGCTGCTGTCTACAGCCCGCAGTGTTTGTGTTCTTAACTTATTGCCGCTGCTATCGCTGCTACACCCACACTGCTGTTGTCTCACGAAGGGAAATTTGTTCACATTAATCCTGACTTTGCACTGGATTTTCTGCATGTTTTCATTTGTAGCAAGTACATGCTGCTATTTCTATTTCTGGAATCTCAGCAACTTGGCAACACGGAGCAGGAAAAACTCCATTAGTGTGGCCTCCATTAACACCTCGTCTCCAGGCAGAGTACAGACTGAGCGAAACCACTAGAGGCATCGAGGGGCTCAGCGTGCAGGATTTCATTGATCAGCACTGGATCTGATTTTTTACACATACATATTTAATAATACAAGTTATGAAACAAAAAATGAAAGAGGCACAAACGGAGAATATTGATCAAATTGAAAATCAATTAAAATAATTACTATATAATAAGTTACTTGATGACCAAATACAATAATATTCAACTTTTCTCGACTAAGAACATTTTACTTTTTCATCATATATATCATTCATTTTTTACTTTTTCCGTTTGTTCTGCTCTAGGTTTGACCTGACCCAATTGTGTTTAACTTAACTCTTAAATATTTATCTTCTAACTTAAGGCTATTCCTTGAATATTTGACTGTAAGCATATATACTCACTTGTCCTCTATAGGGATACCCAGCCTCAGAGTCGATGCCCTGGTTGTCGATGACGTACTGGAAGGCTTGGCTCATGAAGCCACCATTGCAGCCTTTGTTTCCATATTTACTAGAACAGTCAACCAGGTTTTGTGGACTCAGGTCTATCAGCTTCCCCGTGATCTTGGCCAGCTGGCCCTCAAGGGCCCCCGCAGAACTGAAGGCCCAGCAGGAGCCACATGATCCCTGCATTTAAAAGAAAAAGGTTACTACGACATCACAGAAACATAGAATTTAACACAGAACGTCTGAGGGAACAGCCTAAAATCCTGTCCGATAAAATACTGCTGCGGCAAACAGAAAATAAAAACAAAACATTTTCTGCATCATTTTACACAAATTTCAATGTTTGGCAGCAGAACAAAAACAAATGAGATGCAGCCACTGGAGTGCCTATCACTGTTAAAAGGTTAAACACACTTTCTCAATTATGTAAAAAATATTTAACCAGTAGAGAAGAAATGCCAGAATCAATATCTGCGTGTCAGTGGTTCTATGATTCTAAAAAAAACACCACTGTGGTATAAAAAAATATTTTTATTTCTATGCCTTTGCACATTTTTTTTATTTGAATATTAATTACATTTATTAAAAGAGACAAATTATTAATTGGGCCAAATGATCTTTTCTTAAAAAGACAATGTTTCTTCTCATTCCTGTTGTATTAAAAGCTTGAGCTGTTAAACAGTCATAGTCAAATGTGTGTTTTACTATAGAAATGTTTGAATAACTATTTATTTATTGGGGCAGAGGTGGCTTAGTGGTTAAGGAAGCTTGACTTGGGTCTGGAAGGCTTCAGGTTTGAGTCCACCAGCTGCCGCGTTACCACTGAGGTGCTCTGAGCATGACACCGTCCCCACACACTGCTCCCTGGGTGCTTAAAGCTGCCCACTGTTCACTTTGGTGATGGGTTAAAACCAGAGGTCACATTTGGTTGTGTGCAGTGGTGAGCTGTGTCACAATGACGAGTAGTTCACTCTCCTTCCTTCCTTATTTTGATAGTTGCTACTAGAAATAAAAGATTTGCACTAATGATATGTTGTGTGGTCTTTTCAACCACACCATCCTCAAAACCATACTAATAACACCTTGTGTTATCATTATGACCCCACACCTCAAGGACCACCAAACAAATGAATGTGTCAGAAGACATTTACAGATAGTTTCCTTTGTTTACGCTACAAGATTCACAAAAAAAAAAAAAGAGGAACAGGAAGTATGTGGGTTTTTTTTTTTTTTTTTTTTTTTTAAATTGTGTCACAGGGTGTTTTCAGCTCTAGTCTCTACTAGACTGTTTGGAGTCTGATTTGAAGAGTTGTATTGTTACCTGCATTTTGACAGAAGTGACGCAGCCCTTTTCTCTCCAGTCTATTGAGTCTGGAGCGTTGGCGCCTGATGTCCCCAAGAAGGACAATGGCTCCCTCTTGATGTCAGCAGGAGGAGTGAGCGTGCCAAATGACTGTTGGATCTCTTCTTCCGTCTATGATGAGGAAATAGAACAACACATGTCAAATACACAAGCAGAAGTGAAGTTTTTGTTCGTTATTAATGCTCTTGTAATTTTGAAAATTCGGGAAGCTAAATGTTTAAAGGTTAAGCAACATTTTAGAAAACTATTTTAAAATTTAAATAAAAAGTATCATTGGTAGAAGATCAGGTAAAATATATGTATATAGTAGTTGAGGTTAAAAATCAAGGAACGTGTTAGCGAAAATAAAGCCACAAAGAGCTAAACGATAGCATAAAAAATGTTTTCCACAATAATACATTAACAATGAGACTTCATTAGATGTTCCAAAACCTTGATTGCACAATTAATCAAATGGTCATTAGCATTTTGGTTTATAATTCGGATATGTGGATAAACAGTGTGTTTGTTCACAAACAAGAGTGTTCGTTCAGTCAAAGTAAAGTTAAATTACAGACATTAAGGTGACACACATATTATTATTATTATTATTGCTGTTGACACACAAGTACGGTGTAGAATCTTCATTGTCAAAAGTAAGAGGTTAGAAGGTCAAAGTTCAAGTTCTTGTTTTGCGGAGGAAGAACTTTTTCACTTTCTCGGCTCAAAATATATCATATTATTATATTTATATTAGGATTATTATTATTAGCTGTTATTAAATATACTTTGAGTTAAAGCTGAGCTGGGCCACACGCTACTGTTGTCACTACAACCACAAGGTTTCCAGAATTTAATGTTGACAAAAAAGTTGACATTGACCTCCTTCAGACTGTGTTTCTAAATTAGCGAATATCCAGCCTTTCTTTGGCCAAGGGTTGGATCTGCACTTCACACTTGTGTGTGTATGTGTGAACTTATATTTACATTGACTTGCATATTTACATCTCCTTTTTACACTCTCTTACATGTGACTGTGCGAGCAAGTACCTGTGAAACTCCTACACAAACAGAAAAAACAAGAACCACGAACTGTTTTCAAATGAGTACCGTTCTTGTCAGAGCGCATAATTTCCAACCACTGACCTAGAGTTGTTGCCGCTTCTGATGGAAAACATGCAGCTTAAGTTCTGTTTTTGTTCTTCCTCATCCGTGATCGGTAGCTGTGTGATTGAGGGAGCGAGTGAGAATCTTACCAGGTCTCCCATGTGATTCATGCCCAATTCGTAGGTGTGAATTCCCATGGAGGCCTCCAGGTTGTGCATGGTAATGAGCGCCAGGTTCTTCTCCCACAATTCCCTGCGGCGCATATTCTCCGCCTCAATAAAGGCACATAGAGTACAAGAGGTCAAATATAAGGTTCAGGTTGAGAATAAATCTTACATATGGATTTCATGCCTGCAGAAGCACAACATTTTTTTCCACAGTTTCTTGTCATAAAAAAGAAATGTTCATAGAGATAAAATAAAGAGAGAGAAACCTGATTTTCATAAGTTTTTCCATGCGTCTTCTTCCACAGCTCCCAGTGGACATCAAACCTGCTGTCAAACACAGCTGCAGTGCTGACACACAAACAGAAGAGCAGCAGGTTCACCAACATCACACCTGTAAGCACACAGGGAGACATGATCCCGTGAAAAGAGACCTTTGGTGACCTTTAGTGTTTAGTGTCAAGAGAAACAGTCAAAGGAAAACGTATCACAAGTTTAGCTGAAAACAATAGAAAAAAACAAAAACCAAAAAATAAAGAATGTGTCATTGCTTCCTTGTGTCTTTAAAACCAGATTTGCTAACATGTAGTTACTTTGACTGTAACTCACTGAGCCAGATTATTAGAACACTGTATCACTTACACCTCTAGGAGGAGCTGAAAGTCTTCACGTTTTGTTTGCTGCTGTGAGATGGGAATTATTTTTTTTCCACCTAGTGTTTTTCTTTTACATTGACTTGTGTAAAACTACATCAACTGACTGTACTTTTATGGAAAGGGTTTCACTTCATAATTTCTTAATATCTTTCACCTTTGTTGTATTTTTTATCTCTTCCTGTAAATACCATAGGTCCGATTTTTTTTAAGAGTATCCATAAACTGGTCTAATCATTGCAACTTCAATTACTTAATACTTGTGCCCAAAGTCCTTTATAGTTGTAGTGCATTTGTTTATATTAATAATAATGATGATACATTTCCATCACTCTTTAATAAGCTACATTGCATTCCAACTTGAAAAAAACGCTGCGTTATAGACTTTTATACAGCGATAATACTGCATTTCCTGTGATCCAGCTCTTTATCCGCAGACTCAGAAGCTTTCACTTCCTTAAACAAAAATAAGCAGCTGCAGTGCAATTATACCCACAAATTCCATGAAAATGTATCATGAGACCAACACAGAATGTGATAAAAAAAAGCACAGCAAATGTACCAAATACCAGATATCAATCTGACTGTGAAAGACCGACTTTAATCAGGCGTTAAAGAGCTGCTCAGTAACAGTGTCATGTAACAATGTTGATCTGCCAGTTTCACCCGAACTTAATCATTTGAGTGTCTAAAAAAAAATACACGAGACTCGAACCTCGTGATAGAAACAGATTGGTTTTCCAAAAAAATATCCAAAACAACAAATGTTCCCAAACTAAAGAATTAAATTGTGTTGATCATGTAACTGTTTACGTTGTGTATATTATCTACACCTCGCCTATCACAGACTAATGGGTTTGTGCTAGCATTGTTTCACTGAACTTTTTTGTTTATTTGTTGCAACATATAACTATTTACACAACCACTTGTTGTTTTGTTTTTTTTGGTTATTAATGTTTCTTATAACAGGGAACCCAGAAGATATTTCCATTTGAAAAAAAAATGAAATGGAAAGTTATTTCCCCCTTTAACACATTAGAACTTTGTAATGTTTTAAAGGGCATAATTTCTTCATCTTCATAGAACCCAGATATGGTTTACAGTAAAACAAAAGCATTTTCGAACAGCTAATTGTTCAGGTTAAACATATAATTTCTGCTAGAAATAACAGAGAACAAGGCAATTATAGCTCACGGTCAGCATACACAGACAGACACATAGACCCACGAACTCCAACACTTTAGTACACGTTAAAAAGGACGGTGAAAGATAAGTCATTATATAAGAATGTTTAGTACACGTTAAAAAGGACGGTGAATGATAAGTCATTATATAAGAATAAGAACCGACTGTAAACCACACTGAGCCTAATGAAGTACCACAGCTGACACCTAGGGCTGGTTTTACTGGCAGGAAATGAGGTGATATTGTTTTTCAGGAAGAAGTCTCTTGTTTATTTTTCACCTCACCCATGCCCTTAAATCAATCATAAAAATGTACGTCTAACTGAAAAAACAAAATGAATAGTAAAAAAACGTCTCTCTAACATTTCACAATTCAAACCATCATTTAATCTTGGACGTTTTACGTATAACTAAGCGTTATGAATTAGCGTTTTCCGCCTTTGTAAAGGATAATTAATATTTCTAATTAGGACACGTATCTTCGTCAGCTACAAACACACTGAGATTTAAATCCTACAAATCATTCTGTCGTTGTCACCAAACAAAGCCTCCGTTGTTGTGTTTTTCGTAGCAACACCTGCACATCTGCCTTCGATGAAAACGAAAGTAAAACGTATTCAACTCTTCTCAAATCTCAAGGCGAAGATGTCGGATTTATTTACATAAAAAAAACTTTACTGACTAAAGTTGTACTCACATTGAACAGTCGGAATCATGTCTGCGTCTGTGTTCGAACCCCGTCACTGACTTGGTCTTTTTCCTGGTTCACCTTTATGTAGAAATCTGTCACATGGTGTGCGGAGTGTTTACAGCTTCCTCTTAAGTTAAATCGAAACCGTCCCATAATCATAATCATTATCACTCATCAATCATCATTTTCCTAATCTTTACCACTTTTAAAAAGTAAGTAAAATTGATTTTCGACATCACAGTAAAATAGCATTTATATGGTATTTATATTTTAACTCACAGTTCAAACATAAATATATGGTAGGTTGGATTTTTATGAGTAACTCTACAAAGTAAGTGAGTGAAATGAGCATCACGTTAGTGAGGATAAAAATTTAATTTGGACTTTTATTAATGTCTCAACGGAATCTTTTCACCAAGTTGTGGTCTGGGGACCAATGTACTTCAACTCTCTTTTTACAGGACATATTTTTATTTATTTCGTTTTTTCTTTGGATTACAGTATTTTGGATCATAGCTAAAAACAAAAGCACCAATATTTTTCATCACTTTCTTTGTGGTACAATTTGAAGTTACTTTCAGAAAAGCTTAAATAAATAAATCAATTTTGGAATTATTTTATATGTTTTGACTGTGATGCAGGGTTTAGATAGTGCGCCCCCTTTCTTATACACAAGATGCTACAGAAAAAAAATACACATTTATTCAGAGATTACATATGATGCTCAAACCAATGTTTTCTTTCTCTGGATTAAAAAAAAGGGTACACTTCAATGTTTTAAAATGAAACCTTTATTAAATTCCATAGAAAACAGTAGTTTATAGTTTGATCATCGGGAATGTGCAAAAACAAAACAAAACACAACCGAACTAAAAAAAACAACAACAATTAAACAATGGTTCAACTTGATTAAGAGAAAACAGGTAGAATTTAAAAAAACAAAAAACAGTGTGAAGAGGAAAACAGAATGTACCATTGCCCAGCAATGTTTACTGTCATACTGGATTTAAATCTCAAAAACTATAATTAAGCGCAGAGACTGAGATGATTCAGTCTCACACTGTGAAACACTGTTAGCGCCTGGACAGAGAGAGAGTGGAGATTCAAATTCAGAATTTTCTTCTCGTTGCTAACAAAATGCCCTGGAGGTGTTTATGTCTTCGTGCTCGTCTGCTGTTTTGAAGATAAGCCTGGAAGGCCTTCAGGGCTCCAAGAAAAGTGCTTCAAGTAGCTCAAAGTGTAAACTAAAAGAAAATATGTGTATTATTTTGTAACACAAGACACTGACTCCAAATTACAGTAAGGCTGGTTACTGAAATTTGGAAGAAAACTCCTCTCATAAGTAGTTGTCCAAGCAAAGCCCGTCTGAACCCTCTTGATGTGCTCCGAGCCCAGGACTCCTCCCTCTCACATGATGGGGTAGCTGGCGAGGTTGGCGATGCCACAGAGGTTGTTGCGGTTACGAGCCATCATGATGTAGCCCTGGTTGCCCCAGGTCTCGCTCCAGCTGTCAGGAAGAGGTTGGAAAGACAGAAGACAGAAATACAGATGGGTAAAGAAAAGCAGAAGAGAGAGTGAGTGAGAATCGCCATCAGCGTTTTGTGTCTTCACGTCAACGCCACGGCAGGAGATGACATGTGGCTTCATTGCGGTGGCCTTATGGGCCACCTGCTGCCACGCAAGCCTGTGATGTGTCCCACCTGTTTTTGATGATCCAGTATTTCTTTCCTTTGGAGTTCACTCCGTAGCCGACCGCCAGCACGGCGTGATTGATGTCGTCTTTGTTGCAGTTGCGGTCGTAGTAAACACCTGAGCGCATGACAGAGGAGACAAGTGAGAGAGTGAGAAGACAAGATCTAAAGAATCAATGGATGTTTCTCTGAAGTTGGTTCAACAAATGATAGAAGTCATTTATTTTCCACTGACATTCGGTGAAAAGTTGGAGTGAAAGGTGCAGTAAAATCTTTTGTTTGGTAGTACTTTGATGCTGGGTATTCATATATACTTCAGTTTCTAATCTAAACCTCTTCAAATGTCAATCAACCACAGTTTAGGTATAATAACTCTACTTTATTATTTGTTTTTTTACCTCAAACTTAAACTAACTCTTGATTAAAAAATAAAGCAATTTTGTAAATAGTTATTTACAATAAAATGGTTCTTTTTTTGGAGCCAATTTCACAAGAAATAATTTTAGTAATAAATCATGGGCAAAATAAAGTTATAATTGACATCTATGGGCCAGATGTGGGCCTTCTTGGGCCGGAAGTGGCCCTCGGGCCATAAGTTTTTCTTTGTCTGTGTTTGACGTTGAAGACCATTTTATCTAACCTTTTTCAATGACTATTATTAGATGCTTAGCATCAACTTTCCTACATAAAATAACATACTGTGTTTCCTCTTTTGGTGTCTTTTACAGCAACTAGTCATCATGACAGCACTTTCACAGTGTGTTCTCCTGCAGAAGTGAAGCTGTGGTTTAAACTACGTCCAAAGTCATAAGTTGTTGTGTGACAAAAGCACGGACACATTAATACATCTTCTCTTTTTACATGTAGAATATCTGACGTGAGCATTTTAAAATATGCTGAATCATTTTGTTTTTGTAATATAGTTGAACTGTTGATCCTCCTGAGGCGTTCACTGACCTCTCTGGTAGAACTGGAAGCTGCTCTGTGAGGCGTCGATGCCCACAGACACTGGACCCACTTTAAACAGAGCCACAGCCAGAGCGTGTTCATCACCCATTGGGATCTCCTTGTAGCCTTTGCACTGGGCTGCCATGCCACTGGAGTTGTAGCGGCAGGGGGCGGCCCGGTGGGGAAAGAAAACACTGAAAACAACAAAGGAAGAGGCTAACGTTAGCAACATCCTGCATTTAACAAGCTTATTTTGTGCCTTGCTCAGAAAGATAATAAATGAATGATAAAAAAGAAAAATGAGATTTGTGATTGGAAGAGTAATTTTTTATTTATATGTATTTATTTCAGGTTTTTAGATTTCTGTTCATCATAATAGTGAACTTTTAGGACTACATAGCCAATGACATCTTCTTTACCAGAAACACCATCACACCTAGTGATTCTTGTGAGTCACATGCATGTTACAGTGTCAGTACATGCTGATTACTAATTAAGGGAAATTGCCCTGTATTCATTAATAAGCAGTTCTTCTGCTGTGAGGATAAATTGAGGAACTGCTGACAACGATGATGTCGCTGGTGTTTAGTGAATTTTTTGTTGCTGTCTGTAGCAAATTTCTTTGGGGTCATGTTAGTGATATCAACTTGACAAAAAGAACCAAAATGTTAAATGAAATCTCTCAACTTGAGAATTAATGATAGATAAATTGTGAATTTAGCTGTGTTAAATGTTATTTAGAATTTCCAGGACTAAGTGTTTGTCATTTAACCGCATTGGTTTTTCAAATATAGGAAACTGGAACGTCGTGATCTCACCTCTCCCACATAGGGATATGCCTCCCACGAGTCGATGCCTCCGTTTTCCTGGATGTACCTAAAGGCGTTGGTCATGTATCCTCCTCCACAGCCGTCATTTTCTTTGACACAGTCCACCAGGTTCTGGGGACTGAGGTCCAGCAGCTGACCGCTCTGTTTGGCCAACTGGCCCTCGAGGGCCCCGGCTGAGCTGAAAGCCCAGCATGAGCCACAGGAGCCCTGTCAGAAGACGAGAGCAACAATGTTGATATAAAGTAAACTGCAACGTTATTTCACAAGTGTACAACGAGGCGAACGCAGAACTGAATCGAAAAGCAAAAGTAAAAAAATAGTTCACACCTCACCATCACCAGTACAACCTAAAAAATAAAAATAATGTTTTCAAGTTCGTCAAAGAAATAACGTGTTTTTCGTCCTTTCCTCCACTGGAGGGCAGAGTTACATAAACTTTGACTTAAAACAACATTCCTGCACAAGCCAGTGCTGTCTTGTATAAATACGTGTATATGTTGTAAAATGCAGTAAAGCACATTCTATGAGTTAAAATAGCCAGTCAAAAAGGTGTCATTAATTAAATACTCGACATTGTTATGGATATTCCTGCCTCATTGACTTTGCCAGCGTGATTATTGATAACTATTGACTGCCTGAGTTAGAAAGTGAAAAGGGAGAAATACAATGATTTCTGCCATTAAGTAAAAATAAATAATAATAATAATAATAATAATAACCCATTGTGCTCCCTGCAGCTTTAACCTTTCTATTAAAAACGGTTGATTACACATTATGCATGTAATCAAAACAATCCACTGGTGAATAAAAGGGAAAAAATCCATATAAAAGAATCAACAATGATCCAGTGATGATTGAAGGAGACCGTGTAGGAAGTTGTTGTTATGCTCAGAGTGAAGTCAGTCTGATGAATAATTCATTAATGCCAGAAATCTTAGGCTTCGAGAAAAGTCTGGTAATTGGGCTGCTGCTTATAGGAGGTGGTCGGTTTTTAACCACTAGAGGGAGTTGAGTGCAACCCCTCGGTTAAACATTACGTAATGTCCAATGCTGTGGTAGGAACTGAGGTCAATTTAAAATTCTAAGAATTCAAACAGCCTATAATGTGATAAAATGGCAGCCAGTTAGCAGTGTAGCTCTTGTGTAGCTCTATTTGTGCTGCACTGCTACAAAGTATAACTTTACTTTTTTTCATAATTTGCATGTGCAGGTGCTCAGTGGGTTTTTCACCACCATCATCGTTACAGTTCCAGCTCTAATATGACGCCAGACTGCAGGTAGTGTTCTCAAACACTAGGCTGCTGATGTGTCCATGAGCAGTGACCACAGATGTTCCCCTGCAGACTGCTCCCACCTAAACACAGGCCATCTGTCATAGCAACTAATTACATTTAACCATCACACCATTCCGTTGTTTGCAGCGTCCATTAGCTCAGTGAGATCAGACTGTTTGCTCCATCAGGCTGAGATACTGTCAGGAAAAATAAACAAATCACTGCAGGAAGTTCACTTTTATCTCCTCTGTTTGTGTTCCCTTCAAGGCAAACACGAGAACATTCCAGCAGCTTTGTCAGCTTCACTAACAAATATGTGAGAGGAGGATTTTGAGTGTTTTTTTGTAACATCAATACACTAGATAAAAAGGTAAGAACAAAAATTCCAAGGGTACAAATTTACATTTTTCTTTTAATATACCCAAAATATTCACAATATTATATTCAATTTTTTTCTAGATTTTCTAAAATATTTTTACTCATTGTGCATATTTTCACATTTTTACTCTTTAATTTAATTTAATTCAATAAAGCATTCTTTGTGTTCTGACCTGGTTCTTCACTGATGTCACCATTCCCTTCTTGCGGTAGTCGATAGTTTTGGGAAGTTTGGACACTCTGTCGTCCAGAGCCAAGGTGAAGGTGTAGTCACGGTTCAGTGGGACCTGCAGACCCGTCATCTTCTCCACTACTTCTTCTGATGTCTGGATAACAACAGACACACCTTTTTAGTATCCTAATCTGAATGATCTATTTTTTAACTAAATACAGTCACTATTCTGACTATTTTGACATTCTTGAATTAAAAACAAAAGTTTAATTTCTGATATGATGTGAATTAAAAACAAAAGTTTAATTTCTGTCAAAAAAAGTGAGAATTGTTCCTGGTTTTGTCTCTACCTATCTATCTTGTTGAGTTTAAATGATATAAAAAATGATAAAACTTCCATTAGTGCAGAAGCTCAAGGTTACAGGTTGTATTGTGCTGACAAGAGAGAGCAAGAAACCTTCCTCGGCTCCATTTATTCTCATGTCAGATAAAACAGAATATTTGGAAGAAGAACAAGAAAACCAAGCCATAGAAGATTAAGTCTAAGATCTAAGACAAGAACAAGTGAAAGACAAAAACAAACAAAAACAAAACCACACACACAACAGACGGAGGAGGGACAGAAGATGAAAGCTGCCTCACCCAGAGACGGGGTTCCTCACAGGTGACTCCAAATTGAAATGTCACTTTTTTATTTCTCTCTCTGTTTGTCAAGTTTCTCAGTCATCCAGCTCATCCAATCCTCAGGAGAGTAAATACAGACAAGTGGACGTGCATGACTTTCCTCCAAAACATTTCATCCTTCATCCTGCGTCAGTGGTGGCTGACAGGCAGAAAGACTCAAGGGGAGTAAAGTTTGGGCTGAATCCACCCTAACGTTCAGTAAACAGAGTCATGCTAGGGCAAGAAATATTCTGGGTTACAAAAGCATGAGATGTACATCTGTCTACGGTGGATCAAAAAAGTCAATAAGGGATGAAGACTCGGATCAACTGCTTTTTAACTCATCAATGTGGAGAAGAGCAGCGGAGGTTAAAACCTGACGATGGCAGGAGTTACTGAAGTGAAGTGAAGATAGTTCACACTTCTTCGGTGTTTCTGAAATCTGTGATGTCAAATAGATCAATTAACACTCATTAGAGGTGTTAATGGTCTAAAGACTCATTAAGATTCTGTTCTACCTGATACTGACAGTCTGGATCCACAGAGAAAATCCTTGTCGAGTGAAGTGATGGGAGTAATGATTGTGTGGTATCGATGTAGTGATACTCAATTACTATCATAAAGTATCGATACAAATACTGTACTCCATACAGGCTTTTGTGCTGCAACACCACCCGGTAACATACAATTAAACTGATCCATACATGTCACATGACCACTGAGCAGAAGAGGTCATCACTGGGTGTCTTTGGCCCTGATTGGTAGAATTAAACTATCTAGATGACATTGTATAAAGATAAATGATTGTCATTTGTTCATCCGTTTTACATTGATTCCTATGGGGAAATTGTTTCAGCTTTCAAACTTTTTGGTTCACGAACGGCCTTCAGAAAGTTTGAAAGCTGAGGTTCCACTGTACTTGATGACCACAGAGACACGTGTGCCAGCACTAGTACCAGTACCAGCTAATCTGATGAACCCAGATTATAGGTCTAACCCAGAACTATAACTACATGGTCACTCACCATGTCTCCCAGGTGGTTCATGCCCATCTCATAGGAGTGGATGCCCAGTGCTGCCTCCTCATTGTGGGCTTGGATCATACGCATGTTCTTCTCCCAGATGGCTCTGCGGATTCCCTCCTCGTCCTGTCAGGGATGAAAGAAAAGGTTTTTTTTTTCTCTACTCTCCTTTTTTTTACCCATGTAGGAAGTTATAATCTTCAGACTATATGAGGAATGGAACATATAATGTTAATAAAATAAATTCATAGGAAAATGATAATTTTTTTTCCACCACAGATTATAGCTTATAATTCCAGAGAACACAGTTTTCAAACACTGCTTCATCATCTTCACTTCCTCACTTCCATAAACCTCGATCCAGGCCCTGGAGACAGACTTTGTCAACAATCCTCTATCACCTCGAGAAATTCTCCCCCTCATGTTCTTTACCTTGCAGCAGAATTGCATTAATCTGGACACATTTACATTCTAATTAATGTAAAAGGAAAATAACAGGCAGAAAAAAATGTGTGCACACACATTGGATCAATCAGGTCGGTTAAATTAGTGAACGAGTTCTCATCACTGACACTGATGAAGCATTCGTTAGTATTTTCTTTCAAGTGATTTTGTCATTTTTGGTTTGACTAATATTTGCAAATTAGCATTTTGGAATATCTGTAAGACTGAACTTTGATGAAATATATATTTGGGTCTTTTTATAGGAACAAGATCTATTAATTCTAATAATAATAATAATAATAATAATAATGTGGTATATATAAAATTAAAAATATAAAAAATAATAAAAATATAAACAAATAAAAATAATACATATATATGGTATGGAGAAATATAGAATAACTCCAGATTCTAAACAAATATTTCTGGTCTCTCTGTTGGAACATGGAGAGTCAGTCTAATGACTAACGATTGGTTGCCTCAAAACCTCACCACGTTTAATATTCAAGGTCTCAGCAGCCACTGGCGTAACTGTGATCTCCATTCATCTAGGCGTTCTCTGATAGTAATGGAAAATGTAAATGACGTGATTAGAGCCATTCTATTTCACTAATGTCAGTAGAGAGAAGGTTAAATTAGTGGGAGTTAATGAGGAACACTGGTTCAAATCACCCTGGGATAAAAAGGAAAAACAGAGAGATTTCTGCTGAGTGCAGCAACACCACTGATCATGTGACTGCACACAGGTTATCGAGTTAATGTTGGTGGGTAATAACACTGGACCGAGGCACATGCAGCACTGCAGAGACCCAAACACACAAACACAGCTGTGGAGCAGTGACCTTTGGCTGGTGGGAAAAACAATCATGTCATGGCAGATGCTCAGGAGGTTCATTTGCACTCGGATGCTTTGACGTCAGCATCTGACATACATGTTCTCCTTTTTCTTTTCTTTTTTTAATTTACTTCCAGGAATTAAAATGAGGTTAAGACAAGAAGCTTGGAGTAACATTACTGTAAACTGACTCATTCAAGTCATGAGATTCTTAGTTTCAGTCTCACACACAACCTCGTCTTACATTAATGACTGTAGTAGGTGGCACAAAAAACGCAGCTCTGTCTGTAGTATTCTGAAGCATAAACTATAAAAACATATATTAGCATATGTAGCATACATTAGCTTGGAGAAGGACACGGTGCGAAAGAATGTGAAAGAATGCCCTGTTCGGTGCATTTTCCTATCTTACCATTAGATGTCACTAATGTCAATAATGTTGCCCAAAACATAAAGTCGTTCCATAGTGCAACGGTTATCATGCCTGCCTTACATGCAGAAGGTCCTGGGTTTGAGCCCCAGAGGAACTGTACTTCAATGTTCTTAATTGTGCCTCTTGTGCTCTAACAAGGAACATCTGCTCTGCTTAACGTTCTCTCCCTTTGTCCTCAGTCTGCTGACAGCAGGAGCAGAGCAGCTGAAGAACGCTGAACTGATCGGCCGCTAAATTGAGTCAGATGTAAACAGACGCTGAGTCAAAATCTAAAGACGTCACTGAAGCACAGAGGCAGGACACCGGGGGAGGAAACACAGGCGAGAGACAGACGAATTGGAAGGAGAGACAGCCGATCATTGAACGACCTGGTTAACACCACTGACACCGACACTAATGCCACTCTGATCCCTCTGTAATCATTAGCCCATGCGGGGGTGTGTGCGGAAATATTAAATGATTTGTTGAGAGATCAGTGACAACAAGCCTGGAGATACCTCAGAAAGTAAAAAAAACAAATAGCTCAAAGTAACGTGACAGCTAATAGGTAGCCTAGCCAAAAAGTAGCTAAGATATTGAGAGATAAAGCTTTATCAGTGGTAAAAAAGACCCTTAAGGTAGCTAACAAAAAAGCTAAAACAAATTGGCAAACAATCTGAAGGTTGGAAAGTGGTTAGCACGCCTGCCACAGAAGCAGAGAGTCCCAGGTTAGATTCCCAGAGGAACCACATGATTGGCGCTTGCTGGGGGCAGCCTGTTAACAGCATATCTGCTGCTAATACAATGATTTCCTAAATATGGGATCAATATAGTATAAATTATTATTATTATTATTATTATTAAAAAATTTGAAGAAATCCATTGATAAAGGTTTAGCCAAAAAGCTAAAGTCAGGTTAGCAAAAAGTAACCATTATGTGCTTCACAAGTACCTGAACTTAAACAACTTTATGCACATTAGACAGAAACATTAAAAAAATAGATTTTCCATCCCTTAGCTAAGCCTAGTAAAAGTCCACCGCAGCAGGTTATATATGAAACCAAAGAGGCTAAAGATGTTAAAACTTGCTGTTCTTTCTCTTTTCACTATCTCTTTTACAGTTGTGGGAGTGAAGAACACATTAACAGGAGGTCATGTGACCCTAGAAAACCAGCAGAACTGTGGATGAGATAGAGGATGAGTCAGAATAGAGAAGTGGAAGTGGTTTCAGACGATGGTATATGTCAACCAAACACAGCTCAGCTGTCGTTCAAATGGATGATCTTTAAAAGACTTTGACGACAATGTAGCAGATCAAACCATAAAGGAGACACCCACCAGGCCGTTGTATTCTCTCTTGTGTGTGATCTTCCACTGCTCCCAGTGAGCGTCCAGCGTGGCTTCATCCAGGTGACTCAGCGCTGCAGAGGCCAGCAGCAGCAACATGCACAGACACGACAACATCCTAAAAACAGAATCCTAAAAACAGAAATCCACAAAAAAAAAAAAAACCCAAAAAAAAAAAACCCAAAAAAAAAAAACCCAAAAAAAAAAAACCCAAAAAAAAAAAACCCAAAAAAAAAAAACCCAAAAAAAAAAAACAAAAAACAAAAATCAAAAACAAAACATGAGGATGATTCATTTCATTCTCATTTCACAGGTCATGCAACTATTTAAGTTCACCTTCCGATGTATCTGTAAACTCAGCACACTGTCTTTATTTATTGTATTTCAGTCTTCTAGTGTATATTTTATTTCTGCATATTTAAAATGCTGTTAGCATTTTAGCTAATGGACCTTTCGTGTTTGAAATAAAGGATGATATTGATGTTGTACATCATTGGTTCTTCTTTTATGGAGGTTTACGGAGACTATAATTTGTGGTAGAAAGACTGAGTTTCTTAAAAAACATTCTTATATGTTTTGTAAATTCCTGCCCTAAAGAAAATATTTATACTTCCATTGACCAAAGTATCACCGTGTACCTTCACAAAACTTGATCTTTTTCAAACTCAAAGTGAGACTCTTTTCTGTCCGTCACCATGTGTTCACTGCAGCCTGACATTCTTTCCACATGTCCGACCTACTTATTTTATAATAAAACCTCAAAGAGCTGATTCTGAGGGCCTGCAGGGTGACTCATTGAACCCAGCTCCTGGTCTGGGAACAGTTTCCACATGTTTGTAGTCATTCCTGGAACTGTTTTTATGCCTTGTTTTTCTTTAGAAAACAATAACAATTTTCTGTCTTTGTGCAGAGGTGCAAATATGAAGACAGAGAAAATCATTAGATCTATTTGTGTCCTGTCTTGTGTGTGTCCTGTCTGATGAAAACATCTTTTCCTTATTCAGCACTCTCTCCAGCTGTCATTCATCACTACCTCCTCCCCCTCCATTTTTAGTACATCCTGCTCTGATCTGCTTTGTTTCCACTAAAAGCCAGTCTACTTCAAAGTGTACAATAGTACAAAAACAGAAAAAAAAAAAAAAGAAATTATTTCCCATTACTGTCAGGGCTGTTTAAAGGAACAAACTGTTCCTTCACTTTCTCATCTTGTGCACAACATGCAACATGACCATGAATAGCACAAATCTATGCAAATGATGCCGGGCTTCCTGAAACTGCTGTGAACTCATAATGGTGAGGCTGCAGCATCAAGTTTGAGACTTTTTGGTTTTAAAGTTCTACAGACGTTAAATAAAAAACAACTCCTGGTTAAAATGCATCTGCAGGAACCGCTTTAAGTACAATTGGATCAAAAACTCAAACACTAACATCCCACTAAAGACAAATTCAAACTTAACTTGAAAATGAAACCTGAGTCTGTCTGCAGCTGTGACTCGCACCACTACAGTGGAGGAATTCACAGCACTGTAGGTGAAGGAAATACGTGAGTGGCATACACAAGATTACCTTAAAGTCTTTTGGAGTCTGGAGACGTTCCTCAAAGTCTGGCTGCCGTCTTCTTCTGCTGCCGAACTAGGTCAGTGTGTGAGTTTTTATTAGTGGACTTTTGAGGAAGTTCAGCGGAGGATCCAAAGCTGGGGAGGAGTTGTTCTCTCCCATTTAGGGGAATAACATCTGGTTTCACTCAGATGCCGCCCGGATGTCAGGTGTCGTGTTTCAAACAATCTGTTTAACTCAACACAAACCCTGACTTTAGGGACTTTTTTTAAAAAAAAATTATACCATCTTAACTAATATGCAGGGGTTAAATATACTTAGTGTAATACTTGTTAATTTAGTCATTTATTTACAGTTAACATGGTTTTATGACTTTCTTATGGGATTTGCGTTCTTTGATTTGTTTTAGGGCTTCACTGCTCAGTTATGGAGACAGTCCGTCTGCTGTCTAAAGTCTAAAGGTGTGCTGTATTTTTAATAGTACATTTTGTGCTGCATTTAAAGCTTTAACATTATTTTTAAGCAATTTTTAATTTGTTTGAGTATGTTTTTAAAATAGGAATTTATAAAAAAAGGTACTGTAGAAGTGAAATACAACACAGAAATGACTGTACTCTTTTCATATGGGTTTCATTTTTGCACTTTTTCACAATTCCACAACACACCTTTAACATGTAATATTTGGTAGAAATGATAGAAGGAACAATACTACTACTGCTACTACCAATAATCATAATCTGACAAGAGACTGAAATGTAATATGTAAGTGATGGGAAATTCTTCTATGACAGGAATTAAATGGACATGGGTAGACAGCTTGTGACATAATCTTTACTTTATTGTGTTTTATATATTGTATAATTACTTAGGTCTTCTTTTTAGCTACACTGTACTGTATTTTCCGGAGTATAAGTCACTCTAGAGTAGAAGTCGCACCAGTGCCCTGTAGCGGTTGTCAGTGTGAAAATAACATGTAAAATTATATATTCCAATATATAAGTCGCACGTGAGTATAAGTTGCCAACACAGCCAAAGGATAAAAAAAAGTGCAACTTATAGTCCAGAAAATATGGTAATTAATATGCTAATGTTTACCAGTGTTTTAGTAGAATATTGACAGAAAGGAAAATAACTAATATTTGGCTTTGGTTGCAACAGAGTAGAGGCCAGTGAATAAAAACAAAGGTAAGAAGATATGAAGAAAAAAAAGGAAGAAAGAAAATGACATAATTCAATCTGAAACAAGAGTTCACTGTTCTGTTTTGCCATGAAATTAAGCAGACAGGACCCAATTGCAGCACAAAGGAGACCCTCTTAAGGTGAGGGAAGTTTATTAACAAAGTGCACAAATCCCAAAACCCACTGGGGTCGAAGGAAACCAAGGCATGGACACAGTGATCTCACAAGGACAGAGTGAGGAAGAGAAGTACATAAACCAAGGAGACCAGGTGACACCAGTGAGGCTGATGACAGACACAGGTGAGAGTGATGACACTAATCAACAGACACAGACAGGAGGGACAGGAGGCAGACTTCATGTTAACATCATACTGAAAAAAGTTGGAAACACACCACAAACTAATTTAATGTTTTTTGCATCCTGCTTTGTATTTATTAAATTGCTCTAACCACAATAACTGTTGAAGGTTCAACATTCATACAGTAGTTTATATCAAATCTATGACATAAGCTCTTTTTATTCTTTAAAAAAAAAACATCCCTAAAATGTATTAGAGTTGGCGCCGTGATGTCTGGTGGACCTGTACTTCCTCATACTCTTAGTCAATAATGTGTCAGGTCTGTGGTGTGTGTATATATATATATATAAATGAATGTCCTGTCATGTGACAGTGACACCAGTCTAGAGTATGTAGTCACTTCTCCTCTCTAATTATAGGAGCATCCCATGTGCCTCATATGTCCATGATACATGGCTGGTCGGCAGCATCAGCATCCAACTGCTGTTATAACTGTCATGACTTCAAACAGGGAGGTCTCTTATGTACTTGGCCTTCTTTCAGCTGATGGAAAATATGTCGTCCCTGTGCTCCCTGTTGGCATTTCTACTTTAAAATAGCTGGGACAAAGCATCAGTGTTTTCTTGTTGTTGTTCGCTTGATAGAATTAGAACAGTGAAATAAATTTCCAATTTAAAACTTAAAAATCAGCATTAACTCAACTACAGTCACGTCTTAAAATGTACTGCATTCTTGAGTATTTCTTTAACCAAATACAATTTTGGTTAACCAAAAGCCTAGAGTGCCCTCTAGCGGCTGTCAGTGTGAAAATAACTAACATGTAAATATCAGTGGTACAGGAGTAGCACATAGTAGTACACAAGCCTAGAGTGCACTCTAGTGGCTGTCAGTGTGAAAAAAATGAATGTGAAATTATATATTTTAATTTTTGTCGCACCTGAGTATCTTAGTAAGTCACAAATCCAGCCAAAGGATGAAAAAAAAGTGCAACTTTTACTACAGAAACTATGGTAGTTGTTTTTCGACTACTGTTTATTATGTCAACTTTTTATGGAATGCTCCGTTTTAGAGGAAAGCAGATCAATCGTGTCTCTGCACAGTCATGCAGAGGAATGGAATGAAGAGTTGAATCTTCTGATAGGAATCTGGAAAAATATGACACAAACAGGAAGAAGGTTTAGTCAAACCAGAGTGTTTTGGAGAGGGAGGGAAACACTGTGGAACCCAAAGAACATCTTTGTCATGGCAAAAAAAAAGTGTTAGTGTAAGATGGTGGAGGGGTACGGTTAGGCTGAAACATCTGTAGCTGGTATGGTGTGATGGTAGAAGAAATAATAAAAAAGAAAAATAGAAGATTTAAGGAATAAGATGTAAAACTCAAGTTATTTGAAAAACCAAAAAACCAAGAATATCTAGACTTATCATGATTGGAGCATTGATTGAAATAAATGCCATGACAGCAAAAGTCATTTCATATAATAAAATAGAAATGAAATGAAAGCAGTGCTCCATCCAACAGCAACCGATTGCTGAAAAGCTTTTTTATGACTCTGCAAATTAACAGTACTAAATTTCCTTCTCCCTGCTTTAAATGGCTACAGAACTCCAGCGTGTAAATGTAATTAACAATGTTCTTAAGGAGAAGGCATAATTCTACCCTTTTACTTTCCCTTTCCTAACTTTCCTCCTTCCCATATGTGTCGTAAAACACCAAGTGCGTGTGTGACGTTATGGCAGAACACAGGTCAACGGCTCCCCCATGGATATACGGCCGATGGAGGAGGATTATGAATGGAGCTATCTGTCTCTAAAGTTTGCAGCTTCAGCTACCGTCAAGGTCACAATCCGTCCCTGCTCTGCCAAGAACCTCGGCACGTTAAGATCTGTGGTGTGTTAAGTGCAGCCGAAGCGGGCGGCTCCGGGCTCGGCCCAGCCCATCATTCACAGCTCCCTATCTGTTCCATCAATCGATGGCTCTTTCTTTCTTTCTTTTTCTTCCTCTTCTAAGTATCTACTCTTTCTCCAGGTGGCTAAAGCCAGCGTCCAAAGCTCCTTCAAAGCTCCCCCCTCTGGTTCTGTGTGGTCACTTTAGATAATGAGTCTCAGGGATGATCGGGTTCATCTATTACCCAGTCCCACCCTCATCTTCCTCCCCCATCCTCATTTTTAGAAATGGTTAGCACAGCATCAGGCAGCAGGTCATGACCTGCGTGTAAATGTGTGTGCGTGTGTTTGATGAAAGGATGAGAGCCTGCGGGTAGTGATAGATTTATAATCCAATATCCCTGACTAAGGTGGTTACGAAGCAGCAGGTCGATGACTCTATTTTTATCCGGAGCGTTAAAAAATCTATTAATATCGCTGTGTAAGCTGATGTTGAGGAAGGTCTGTGGACGTCAATGTTCTAGTGTGGACGGCGGTGGACATTAGCTTAATGTTCTGATTGATTTTCTCATCTATGGAAGCCCTGGGGGTCAAAGAGAAGATTTTCTTTTTGGAAATAAACATGACATTTTGTAAAACATAGGAAAATGTTAGAACAACAGCATTTGATTTCATCAACATCGCTTTTCAAAGACACGATTTCAAGCGTATTATGGAAAACGGAAAGACAAAAAATAAATAATTAAAAAAATAAATATAAGCACAAAACATTTCTGACTTCATACTCAGTTCAGTACAATAATAGTACTTGCAAAGTATATATAATATTACTATATAATATTACTATATAATATTAATATTTCAATTGTCCCAGGTTTTGTTGCATCACCGCTTCCTCTCTTTTTCACGTCTGTTTCCCCTTCGTGGCCATTGTGTAAAAACCGGGCCTCCAACCCACAAACCACTCAACTCCCAGCATCCCCTGCTGCCATGTGATGACCCACCTGCTGACTCAGGACATTGCAGGATGTAAACGCTCACTGCCATTAACAGCCTAGCAATAAAGGGAAGTAATCTTACATCACAGCAGTGAGGCACTACAGTGAAGGCTGAAGGACATCCCATTTTCTATACGCGTCCCATGATCTATACATGTCCCTCGGGGACAGATTACGTAACTGTGTAAAGCTGTTCCCTGTTATAATAAATTCTGTTTAAGCACCAGAGAACGCCAGGCTCCGTTCACGTTCTTTCCCTCCTCCCTGTCAATCTGATGAGAGCGCCGCCAAGGTTATAATTCCTGATCCAAACCGTGCACACTTTTCACTGGGCAGTTCAGAGATTAGAGCCGCAGACACCAAAGAGGGTTTAAAGGCCTGTTTTGATTCCAGTAGATCAGACGGTTGTCTTTTTTTTTTTTTTTTTTAAATCCAAGCAGTGATTGTTTGTCGTGGGAAAAGCAGTCTGTGTATTTAAGGTGATGAACGCACCGAGTCTGTTGTTATTGGAGGTACACTGGACATTCTGGTTTAATTTTTACAATGAAAAATTAACAAACAGTGTGATTAAATGTTGTGAGTTGCGTTTCATTATTGAAGAAGGACGGCAATAATGAAAGCAACTGATTTAAAAACATTGAATTTACCTGCAACAAGTTCAAAATCAATGTGAGAATCTTTTGGTTTTTACAATGAATTACAGTTTATATTTTCATAGCTTTGGAACTCTTTCCTTTGAAAATGTGTCTTCTTTTATTTGACCCATTATCAGCTCAAAAAAGACTACGGATGTCTGATTC